GTGACTTGACTAATCGCTTCTTTTCGAAAGTTTCTTTTACGAAAATATTTTCATAATACTTATATACTTTTTAAGATATTGATTAAAAAATAAATTTAGATTTTGCGAAAAATGTAGTGTACATTCACTCATGCAAAAGAATGCAAAAATTAGGTCAAATAACAAAAATGTTAAATTTCATAAATTGTAAGTTACATATAAGTAATCGGTTATTTGTAAGTCACATGTGTAATTGTATCGCACGGTTTTAATGATCAGACTAATAAATGTTGCAATATATCAGAGTAATCTTTATTTCATTGCAATTTTTAAAAAAGTTTGTATTTGTTAGTTACAAAATACTTAAAACTATTTATTTTTTAGATATTTAAAAATTTTTCCAATATTTTAAAATGTTAGAAGTATTAAATATATAAAGAAAAATAAAGATACAAAATTTTTGTTATGTTGAGTACTTTTGCCTCTTGTGCATCTTTATGCATTGATAGAAACCGTGTTTAAAAATATCTTGATTGTAGAAGTTATATAAGTCTAACATATATGATTATTCGCTGATTAATTTTCAACAAACAAGATGTTCTATATTCAAATCTTCTATATGCAGTTTGTATATTCAGCATAGTAGTGTTTGGATTTAGTGTAGCAGAAGAACTCGTACTTCGTATGTCTTTAACAATTTCAAATATGTATAAATAATTATTTGTATTTTAATAATATAAATATAATAAAAAATATTTATTGTTCTAGTAAAGGACAAACCAAGAACAAAAATCTGTTTAAGCAATATGTACAATTAATAAATATAAACATATTTGAAATTTAAGTGTAAGAAGCAAAAGAGTCAGTGTTAGTTTCTCGTATAAACATGATGACTATAAAGTTTTTATAAATTGCGTTGCTGTTTTCTTAAGTATTATCGTAAATATGTTAATCAGGTGTTTTTGTATTCTTATGCATCTTATTTCATAAATTATTTTTTAATTATACGTTATAAAAAATGCATGCTTCTTGTAATATTTTAATGATATGTACGATTTTTTATGTGTTACGCAGAAGAAGGATTACAAGAAAAAAGTTTGTTTATTGCTTTTTAATACATGTTTGTACGAACAACTAATACTGACTCTTTTGCTCCTTACATTTAATTTTTGATATTTATCATCGGAGTCTTAATAATTTCAATTTTGTAATGCGTGCAATACAATTACACATGTGACTTACAAATAGCGGATTACTTATATGTAACTTACAATTTAAGAAATATTTTGTTTTTAAATTATAGTCGAAGCATTTTTCTTCAAAAAGAATCGACTTTTTGAATTTATTACTACTATTATACCCTATTTTTATTTTTACTTACTAGCACCTGTAACCATCTGTAAACGAAATTCAATTAATTACTTCAATTGCTTAAAACTTGCGATACAGGAAACGTGGTCACAATTTGTTAAAGCGATTGCTTGTTTCAAAAAAATTGATTTTATATATACAATTGCTATAAAATGTTATGATGTCTGAATATTGAAATGTTTATAAAACTAATTATAATAGTAATTAAACTTTTGTAAATGTTTATAAATAGATTTCAAATTATATCTAGA